TTTCCCTCCCTCCCCCATCTTTCAGAGGTATCACCATGGCATCACAGCAGAGCAGACACCCAGTGAGATTCACTTCTCCCCACCTGCTCTCGCCAGGAGCCCAAGCTCCTTCGCAGAGTCTGCTGCGCCTGGGTTCCCCTACCCCATCCCCGCCCTCAGCCCACCACCATCCTGCTCACAGAGGTGATGGCACGCATTGTGCTGAGGGTGAGGAGAATGGAGCCCACTCCCAGCTGGACCCCTAAATGGCCTGTCTGTGACCATGATCGTGGCACTTCCCCTTTCTCAGCCTCAGTCTTTCCATCTGTATGATGGGACACTTCTCTTCTAGGTCTGAACACATGACCTCTACCTAGCCCCTACTTGACACTTTGGAACTCCCTTTGCACTTCATGATCCAGTCCTCAGATCTCCAGCAGCCGGGGGAAGAGCCAAGAGTCACATCTTCTACAGTCCATTTCATTATCTCCTCCCCCTTTATATCTCAGCGGCCATCGCCGCTTGCCTAGTGGCTGAGGTCTGGGGAGAGAACTCTCATCTGACAGCTCAGTGAGCAGCTGATTACCCAGGGACAGGAGACTGTCCAGCTGCCGCAGACTGCCTGGCTCCTTCCTGCCAGTTGGGTACGGGGCCCTGGTTCAGTTGCTTGGAGCTGCAGGTGCATTTTGTGGAAAGAGGTGAACCCCTCTGTTTGTACTTGTCACCTCTAGTGGCACATGAAAGAATGACCTATTGAAAACCAGCCACCCCCTCCCCAGTTGCCTGCCCAGGGGCTAGCAACTCTTGGAGAAGCAGAGTTCCCGGCCCTAGCTCATTCCTGCATTGTGCAGTCTGGGGACCCTGGGGTGGGTACCTGGCATGGACCCCCATAAGTACCTGTGCTTTACATAGACACAGGATTGAGACCTGCCCTGCTGGAGTCCAGGACGCTAAGGACATAGGGAGGGCCCTTTTGGCCCCTGCACGTGTCAGGGCCACAGTCTCTAGCCGACATGGATATCCAAGTGCCCGCTCGTCCCTGAAGAGCCCTGGGGCTCTGCCTGGTCTCCTGCTAGCTTCTGGCCTGACACCCACCTTGGTATCCAGCTTGTCCATCTGGCCAGCAGCCTGCTTCAGTCCATCTTGTAGGGGCTGAAGGCGGATGGGGGTGATGGGATTCAGGGTGCCCTGAGGGAGGAGAGGAGGAGGTTCTGGGACTGGTACCCCAATTAAGGGGGGGTCAACCTCCCACAGGATGCTGGTGGCAAGGGCTGCCTCTTGGTCCCCTTCCTTTCCCACTCTGCCTGCTACACAGAGCCTAATCCCTGCTGGGCTTCAGGTCAGGTTCTTAAGGGGGTCTCCATCTCCTTTGCCAGCTGAAGCCCAGAAAAACATCAGATGCACCCACTCAAAGAAACGGGGTGTTCATAGCAGCCAATGTCCAGTGCTACGGAGCCCCCTTGGCCTCTAGACCCCTCCCTGGTTCCCCCTCTCGCTGGGGTCCATCCCCATTTCTGTTTCATCCTGGTCCCTGCCCTACCCCTGAGGACCCTGCTTTTCCTGCCCCCACCTCGGTGGAACCCCTCCCAAATCTTCCCAGATGTACTCACCATGGGGCTGGAGAGGGGTCTGTAGGGTCCTCAGCCCCACTGCCTCCCCGGGGGCTGGCGGCGTCTCCAGGGACCCAAACACCTGGCTCCCGGGGGGAGCTGCGCCCTGTGCTGGCAGCGGGAGAGGCACAGCCAGTGATTGGCATGTCCCACCCCCTGGCACGCCAGCCTGGGGGGGAGGGAGGGAGGAAAAGAGGGAGGGAGGAAGAAAAGGGAGGAAAGGAAGGGAGGGGGAGCTGGAGGGAAGCCTCAGGCAGCGCCCAGGGTTGGACTAGGTTCTGGAGCGTGTCCCCCTCCTCCACGAGGGCACCCAATTCAAGCCCCAAAAGAGAAGAGGCAGGACATGAGCAAGGCGAGCCCAGGAAGGCTAAAAGTCCAGGACAGGCGAGAAGGCGGATACAGGGAGACAAACACCCACACCCACTGCACACAGACTCAGCGGCACACATACTCCCTCACAAAGGCACACTCTGTTTTCCCAGGCTCCTTCCCCCACCCAACTTTAAAGCCCCTAACCCGTGTGCACCATGCCTCCACACACATGCCTCGGTATCGGCATGCCTGCTTCCCTCACACGCACGCCCTCCCCCATGCTCATGCCCACGCGCCCACCCACCCAGCCAGCCACACACCCTGCTCTTCCTCCCTGCGGGGAGGGAGCTAGATTCCTTCTGTTTGGAAATGACACATTGGGCCTCACGTGAAAAGCTCCAACTTGGAACAGACCCAGAGGGCTGGCGCACCCGCCTGGGGCTAAGCGGATGTGCCCTCGTGCCGGGCTGTGTGCACTAGAGTCTATGCCTGCATAGCCGAGGTGTGAGGGTACATGGGTGTTAGGTTTGCCAGGATGATGGGGGGGAGCATGTGACTGCTCTATGCCCCAAGTGCCCTGCATGTGTGTCCCTGTATCCCATGCATGTTACTGTGCAGCCTGTGCAGGTGTGACCCTGCCCGTCTGGAGGCAGGGTGCATGTGCGTGCGTGCGTGTGTCTCTGTTTGGTGTGTGTCTGAGTGTTGCCCAACTATGGAACTTGCTAATTCTGACAAGGAAGGCAGCCTCTACCTCCCTGCCTGCTCCACCCCCAGCTTCCACTTAGAAGACAGACAGACAGGCAGACAGACAGCTCTCCTCCCAGCTTGTCAAACTCTGTCTCCCCTGACTCCCACTCAGGGCTCACAGGTGTGTACCTGGGAGGTGATGTACGGCTCCTCTCCACCCTCGGCCCTATTGCTAGGCCAACGCCCCACCCCCCAAGGCTGGTTTAGATTTCTGTGTTGAGTTTCCCCAGAGATAGAGCTCTTGGGGGGCCTTTGCCATAGAGATGGTTCCCGCACTGCCCTGGCTGGCCCTAGGGACCTCCTGGAGAGCTGACCACTGGGAGAGAGCTGGAGAGGCTACTAGACTGCCTGCTGGGGCTGCTGTTCTTGGCTCCACTGGGCTGTGCTGAAGCCCTGGGGTGGGAGGTGGGAAGGAGATGCCATCAATTACCCCCATTATGTAGACTGAAGAGCAGAGGTGTGATTAACGGCCCTCTGGCTTGAAGTCCAAGGCTCTGGGGTCCAGGACAAGGGATTTGGGCCTGCCCCACCTCTTCCCCTGCTCACTTCCCCCAACAGGCATCTCCTCCCAGGGCAAGGCCTGAGGCTAAATAACCTGGGGCTTCCTCACCCAGGAGCCCAGCTGCCAACGGAGCCAAGTGGAGCAGAAACTGGAGTCCCTGGGGTCTGGCCAGCAGCCATCGGGTGCCAATGGTAGCACACGTGGCGGGTACACGAGGCAGCTTTGCTTCTCAGGGACAGCTAGGGCTGGAGCAGGCACCCAGTCCTCCTTCTCTCTAAAGTCCTGAGAGCTGCAGCTTGAAGAATCTGAGCACCACCCTTCTCACCCTAAGGTCACCCAGCTGCTGAGGGTTGGGTCAGAGGCAAACCAGTCCCTGCCCATGGGCGAGGACTCAGGCTGCCCCCTGCTGGGTTGTTCTGGGTTTGCGGCTGCTGCTTGAGCGCACAGAGGGGCTGCGTGTACTTGTGCGCATACACGTGGCTGAGTGTGGGGGTGTTAGGCCTCCACGCTCAACATCCATTTCCGAGTCTGAATCAGGCTCCCTTCTTGCCCCCTTCCCCCAATCTCCTTGGTCTCCCTTTTCTCTTCTCCCACCGCCTCTGCACATGTCCCCTTAGAAATAAAAACACTTATTTTGTGGGCGGGAGAGGAGGGTGTCCAGCTTTCCCCAGCCTCCTCCTGAGTGGCCCCCTCTGTCCTACGCGGCTTCCTTCTCCAGTCTACTCCTACCCAGGCAGGGGGATGACGCCCCCCGCTCTCGTACCCCGTAGCATTATTCTTATCGCTTCCCCGCCTAGTCTTGGCTAGGTCTCCTTCCGGAAGGGGGAAACTGAGGCAGAAGGGGAAAAGGGAGGTAGGGCCGGGAGCAGCGCTCCCGCTTGGCTCGCTCACCACCCCCGCACCCGCGCCCGATTTAGCCGCGGGGAGGCTGGGAACATTGTCTTTATTTTAAGCCGCCGAGTGCGGCACGAACGCGGCTGCTCTTGACAAAGGGTTTCGCTAAGCGGCTGCAGGCGGCGCACGTGGGGGTCCGGCCCCGCCCCCGCGCGACCCCCTGCGGTCCTGGAACTCCGAGGCTTGGACGTCCCCCCTACTCCCGCCCCCCAGCTCTTCCCACCCATTTGCCAAATGGGGCCCCGGACTGGCGCAGTACTCCAGGATCTCGGCTCCTGTCCGTTGCTATTTTTGGTCACTCGATCAAGGAATCACTCCCCCAGGCCACCAAGAGGACACGGAGTCGCCCTTGCGTGGCTCGGTCACATTTTTGGACCCCCTTACCTTGGAGGAGAGATGCTGCCCTGGGTACGAATCCGGCTAGGCCTTTTTCTAGCTG